AGATAATCGGCCACTGTTCAACCCTTTACTATCCCACTCATCCTGCAATCAGCTGGTTTTTAAGCGGCCTTTCTTTCCTAGAATTAAATTCGGCTAAAAAATGCGTCTCCAGAGGCCAGTTCATCGCCTGAACCGACTTTCATATCGCGAATACCGTTTAAATCACCGAAAAGTTGTTTGAAGATGTTTCCGGGAGATAGGTATGTTCCGGAGATAGACTGTTTGAACACGAATTTCTATCGCCGTTCGACACAGAAAACCGTTAGGACGCTTCCGCGCCAGAATAGCGTCCAAATTCACTGAATCGCTGTAACTGTGCTCCAGGGTGCTTTGACACGTCCCTAACCAAAAACATCCACATGCGCTTGGTCTAAAAGCTGAGCGCGAGCGGCGAGCGGTTTGAGCTAACAAAGGATATCTTTCAGGTTGTGGGTGCGAGCTTTTTCATAAATGGTGTGTTGCATTGTTGTAGGGTCCATATTTAAGAATCACAAAAATGGGTTTCGTTTTTGCATGCGCAACCTGAGAGTCAAAAATATGGGGTTGAATATTTGCTGGCGGAAAAAGCGATTTCGAACCATTTTTCTAGGTTTTTTTTTTCTATCTCTAATGCTTTGAAGTATGGCACAGCAATGAGGCTCTTCGTGTCATTGCATCGGAAAAATACAGTCAGCTTTGAAAAAGTACATTTATTTGGCACACAGTGAAGGCAGCATTGTAGTTTCTTCAACATTTGATTCTCGCAGCATCCCCAAACCCGCAGTTAGGGTGGGGGTATTCAGAGGCCAAATGCAAATTGTTGGCCGCCAAATACCTTAGGCGCCATTATTAAAGTCAGAACCCGTGATCAGGGCCGAAAATCAAACCTGCTATGTAGACTTCCAGCGAAAATTTTCTCCTCGGACATGAGTGCCTTGAACAGCCCATGCGATGGCTGGTTGACAACAATTTTGTGCATAAGAATGCTTCTTGCAGCAAATCTCGGCGACGATAATCTGCGCCATGTCAAAAATGAGTTGTTTGTACTCGTGTGTAGGGTATCCAGTCATCCCGATTTTCAAGCAAGAGTTTCCTCAATAATGTTCGAAGAGGCGCAATTGGTTGTGTAGGGTGACTCGTGAAGTTTGCAGTCGCGCTCGACCGGAGTGTATAGAATGACGCCTTCTTAAATGGATATATCCCCGTTATATTACATCATCACGCACGCAGGACACACAAGCAGACAGAAATCCGAAAACGCAAAGTATGCCGAAAATGCAAAAAATCCGGCGCGAAGAGGATCCGATCCGCAAACCTTCTCGGAAAACGACGCACTATCCACTCCGCCACAACAGAGCCAATTAAGACCGGTTTAGAAATAGCCCTTTATTCTGTCAAATTGTTTTTCACTATTTTTGATCTCCCCAGAAACGCATGCGCAAAAATGAAACCATTTTTGTATTCCCTGTGTATGGGACCTAGCAAAACAAGCATACAAACCGCTTTAAGAAACGCGCCACGACCTGAAAGCACTCTCCTTGTAAGGGAATGCGATGTTTACGTATGTCTGAGGAGGCCAAACTAACTCTGTAAACAAAAGTTCAGAAATGGTCCCGCCATTGACGAGGTAAAGTCGTTAAAAACGGTCTGATTCGGTGATTGGCATAATGCGGTAACTAATGCTATGCTTGACTAATAGTTTATTGAGATTTTCTGCCCATCTGCAGTGTTACGGAACTGATGATCATTTCAAGAAGCCGATAATTTGTTTGAAAACCTTTGCTGACACTTCAGTGGTAAAAAATTGCCTGCTGAAAGAGTGTTTATGAAGCAATTCAGTTACAGTAGAGATAGTTGAATTCATTTTATCTGGGCTGATATGGAAGGCGATTGGCAGTGACAAATGAAACCTTTCGTTATAACGGGCCACTGGAAGAGGGTCTTGCACTTTTGACGCAGTGCTTGCATCGGGAGCTCACGTTTGAGATTACTTATGATGCAAGCCAAGGAAGGTCGGAGCACGACGTCAATGGAGCTGACCAAGACGCGCAAGCATCACTTCGCCTCACATGCTGGTGTTCTTAGCAATACTCCTGCGGAGCATAGAACTGCTCTCCTTCGTACGAAATCCGTCTCTCATATTGCGCGAATTGCGAGAAAGTCTCTCACAAGACAAGATCCGCTAACCTCTTTCTCAATCTATTTTCAAGGCCGATCTTCATCACAACTCGCTCCCAGAAGTTCGGACCCCTCACTCATAGCGGTCGGCCTGGAGCGGGTCCCTCTCAGCATCTCGGAAACATGTTGGAGCAACCAGAGCAGCGGTGGACTCATTCGTGAACTGCGAGTGTGAAAGGCTGTCTGCGTTCATCACTTCAGACCCCTATCCATTTTGGCCATCACACCTCAGAGTTTTCAGTTAGTAGAGCATTACTCTGCACTCTCCTACGCTGGATCCATCGGCCGTTATGAGTCTCTCTCTGTCTGGCGCGTTGTTCACCTTCCCCGCCACACACCTGTCTCCACATCCATCTTGTGCCCCTCCCCCGTTCGCATTCATAATCCTGTATTTGTCCGACCCCCCTCTCATCGCGCTCACCACTGACTCGACTTAGTGCGTCTCCCGTACCTTCTGTACGATTCCATTGTTCTTGGCGAAGCCAATCGGTTGTCTACTTACTTTGCTCTCTGTTAGTTCGTCGTCGCCAACGCGTGACCGCTTTTCTCGATGCACGTGACGAATAGATAGTAGACTGCTGAGAGTATCCACTGTCAAGCTTTCGAAGAAGATCTGTAACTAGTCTCAGAGTTGTTGTACACACTTCTTTGACCGCCATCAGCTTCACGTGCAGACCCTGCCTCACCTTTGCCCACACCTCTCCTGGGTAAAGTACTTGTTCTTACCCAACCACCGCCTTGTACGACTGCAGATATAACGTTCTCCTTGATTGAACATGTCAGACTGGCTCGCCCAGAAGTCCGTGTTTTCCATAAGTTACAGGAAGCCTTATCTCGCCGGAACTTCCACTCTAAGATTGATCCATCTTATTTGGGTTCTTCACGAAGGCTGCGTCTCCGACAGTCACCGCCATGAGGCCATCCACGTGCATAAACATCTTCGAGAGACGAGATATCACAATGCTCACTGTCGATGCAACAGACCTAGTTCGCAAGACGTCTGAGTAATGACACATTCCGCTCTCACTTTACGCCTGCCATAACTTCGGCTCTACTGCAGGACAAAGACGATTCCGTCTCTGATCGCCCGGCGACCGAACAACTCACTGTAATTTCATATTGCCCTCCCCTGATCGTGCCGCCCAGGAAGCCTCATGCTTCCCCCTTCTGTCCCTATCCCCTACCTGACGCTATGTTCTAGCACTCTCTCCTCTTGAGTCTCCAGACCCCCCTGGACCCACCCACTCCCTGCGTCTATTCCTCATCTCCGTGCGGTACCTGCCTCTTTTCCTCGCTCTCAGACGCTAGTGCACCGCTTTGGGACTTCACGTCCCCGCTCTATCGCATCATCACCCGTCTCGCCCTCCCGTCTCTCGACACAGTTACTCCCTCTCTCAAAAATCATCAAATCCCTGTGCTACACTATATAAGCCATACTCGTGTACTCGTGTAAGCAATATCCCTGCATCTCTGCAGCAACACAGATGTCCTCCCGCACCATGTCCATCTCCTACCGCCTGCCCCGTCATTTGCCACCCCTGATACAATCCCACCCTCGTACACAACTCTTCTGTGTCTCCGCCCAGTCTCTCAGTCATAACAATGAGTTGTCCTTCTCGACTCACTTCTTCACCGTCTCGATCTTATATCTCTGTCCTCCGTGACTACACTATCATCTGCCGCTAAGTTCAACCACCTCTTCCACCCCCGTCTCGATACAAACTCCCAGGACCCTGAGCCTTGCTCTTGATACAAGAAACGGGAAAACCCTGTGTACAATTGCAAAATTATGTTCCAATCTCGGGGAGCTTCCTTGTTATACTACAAAACTTCTTCACATGAGTCTCTACTGCGCAGGCCCGTTTTCGATCAGATCATTAATGTAGGCAGCTATGCCGAGCGATCACAGTTTCGAACACCTTCGTGCACATTGCTTCAACATTCACACCGGGCAACGAAGATCACAAGCGAATGGTAACGAATCGAACAGTATCGTGAGGAAACAAAAAGCCGTTATGCCTTCAAGTTCATCGACTGAGGGAAAGCCTGCCGACCATGTTGACAGGACGTCGGTTCATGAAAGCTGCTGGGGCGACACGGGCGTTCGCACCGGTACGATCAGGATTCTTCATGAGCCCTACATTCATAAAAAAAAACCTTATGTACCGAATGGGACGGAACAATAGCTGAAGCATATATAGACGGCTGGAAACTGCCGCTTCGCTGATGAAAGCGTCTGCTGGAACACGTCAAACATCGAGCAAGCGGTGCAAATGCTAGCTAGTTGCCTGCTGACGTGTGAAATCAAATCGATTTGCAGCTGAATCTGAGAAAGAAGATGTTTTATGAAGCTGCAACACCTGTTTCTGACGGTCGCATCTACACGACCGGAAATGAATGACTCTAAATGCCCTGTATGGTGCCTGCGTGGGGAGGTCAACATGATTGCACAATCGAGCACAGCAGACAGAGCTCAGGCGAAGAGGAAGCTGAGCAACTTATGGGAGCTTCAAAGAACATCGAGATCGGACAGCGAAGACGAAGAACTCCCGGTCCTCTTCGATTCGCAGCTTTAATCTTGGCAACGTGAGAGAAGGAAATCCGGAGCCACTTCTGCCACTCGACGGACGATCAGGAGCATGTAGATCGTGCACGCCATGTATGTTCGACGAGCGAGGCTGGGGACCAAGAGCGAACAGAATCGACAGGGTGTATCGTTAATACGAACCCCGGCACGACCGCCTTTCGCGGTTGTTAGATTGTCTTCGAATGCTGCTGGAACAAACTATATGATTGCACATCGTGTCTCCAGCCCACAGAAGAACTCATTGAAAGCTTTAACACGTCAGGGGCTCGAATGGAGATATCGAGCAACTGATGACAAATTGTAGTCGTTGAAAGTAATAGTTTACGACGATACTGGAAGACCAAAACGACTTTGCGCTTCCTTCTTCCTACTCCCTAATGTGTGTTGGTCCCGCAGCGTCGCAGTGGTGAGCTGTTTCTTTTTTTTAGACGCCGCCACTTGGTCCGATCCACTCAGGCCACGCCACCGTGATAATTAATCACCATCGGGGATGGTCGTAAGCACAGGCCCATATCTTGAAGAGGGGAGAGCAGCGTATGCCCCAGGATGGGGGTAAGCCTCTGAATGGTGAAAGATTTGTTCATTGTTCTCCATGTGCAAACACCTGAACCTGAGAAGGACACTCAAAACAGACCTACAAGCTCAGAAGTGGTAGAATAGGGCATGATAACAGTAATACGATGGTAGGCCATAGCGACGTGCGTCATGAACTCAATGAAAGAAAATGAACACGTACACGTTTCAACCCTTCTGATTGCAGGGAGCGCACTTGCTTGCCACAGAGTAAGCCCTAAGAAAATGTTACACCTTCCCAAAACACCGTCTGCGTGGGAGCCGGATGCAGCTATTACACAAGCTGATGCACCCCAAACGGTGACGAATGAACTGTTTTCTGATACATTCGGCGTAAAACATGTGCTCTAGAGCCATACCAAAATCTTCAAACCGACTGGAAATTGGTATCGCGTCGGAATGGGGTGGGTTTTTCGTGTCGTCCAAAAGGCGTCTCAATTGACATCAATCAGCCGTGCGACTTTTTTTGATGAGCAGTTTGTGTCCGTCTCACTTCAACGGCCATCGAAAGGGCGATTGCTCCGAGTTGTCCTGCTACACGAAGTGAGAGAGGCGATATGCGAGGCTCCGCACTCCGCCAGACGATCCGAAAGATGAGAGACGCCGACATTTGCCTAAGGCTTGCGGAGATCAGGTGGGTGGACAGTATGCGTTTCGAGGACGACCGCTGGACCGGGAGCAGTTCACGACTGGATTTCCACGGGATGTCAAGCGAACGCCTGGACGACCTCTATGTGCATTGAATAGATGGTCGAGACTTGTTCTGAAAGCTCTGAACGGAACGGTTGAAGTTTCAATCCCGTGTCCCTCGCAGCTGACGAGAGTTTACTTGCGGCAATCTCTGCCGGTTCAGGGAGCAATGGAGACCTTACTGGCGATGGCTCGAGGAACTCGATGTATCACGAGGTGAGCACAGGTGACAGGTGTATACAGGTCATGAGCTTTTCCTGAAAAGCACTTAGATTTTGCTATAGGCTATAACTCAGTTTCTGTGTAAAAACTTTTTCTTTCGTACAGAGTTCCAAATGGTTAGACTGAGCTCGGTTCGCGCTCTATAAAGCATTCTGAAAACTGGAAAAATCGAAAATTTATCAGTGCCTCACTATCGAGGGTACCCGGGATACTCGATGCGAGCGAGTCTCGCTAATAAAATTGTAACCGAGGGTGAGTCGTTGGGAATAGAATGATTAGGGAATTCGACTAATGCAGGAGGAAGTGAGTTATAAATTAGATGATTGTGGTTCCTTAAACGATGCCTGATCATTACGGTGCCAGTTTTCTGAAACAGTGGATAGCGTTTCGCACACAATGTCGATTTTTGCGACAATGTGCCTTTTCTAGTCCGAAAAATCTCGAGCACTGGCTAAGTTCGGACGGCACAAGAGCACAGCGGGCCAAAAATATTTGGAGCGCTCTTTTCATAAAGTTCGCGATTACAAAAAAGAAGTAAAAAAGAAGGGCTTGTGTTAGCTACGCGAAATAACCACTTCGTGCAATGTAGACAAGTTACTCGATTTCCAGCGTTTTTTAAGTCAGGGCTTTTAGCCCTTTCTGAGTGCGCCCGATGAATTCATAAAAAGCTTTCACACAGACTGTCTTGCGCTTTCTGAACATTAGGTGAAAACATTGTATATTCTGGAGTGCGTTGTTGATTAGGGTGCCGACTTCGGACTTCATCAAGCGAAGTTTTCGTTTTTTCCATAGGAGGCCCGAATGTTAACAAAATTGAAATCCCATGATAAATGCTTCTCTATTCATATGAAATCACCTCATGGACTTCCTATTAAACTCTCGAGTCTTCTCAGCCATGCGTTCCTGGCAGCGATCAATCGACCTCTACGTGGTTATCGTGCCGAGCGTTGTGCAAGTGCATGTATTGATAGTCTCGATAATTTCTCCACCAACATGGACTCTCCTGTTCTAAAAAGAATTTAATGAGGCAGTACTAGGGTCCAGGCACTTTCTGTTCGCAAATATGAATTTTTTTGCGGAATTTTGGAATTTCGCTCTCCGAATTACAAGTTCCTCATCATTATTATGATTCGTCTTCCTGCGTGAACCTTGCAGAAGGGGAATGAAGGATACTCCAGATATTTTTCTGTGCCTTACTGCTCTAAGCAATTAATGGCTCCGATAAGGCTTCTGCGCATAATAGCTATCTGAACTTTGACGCAGAACAGGCAAACATTTTGTAGAATAGCTTATTTAGAGCGCTGTTGGGGCCCAGTTTATACGCGGGCTGTAAATCACAAACATATTGCGGCTCAGTAGATAGTTGCGTTATGTGCGAAAAAACGTTTCCTAAGGATATAAGTGCATGTAGCCCGCAGGTCGACAGTTGCGATCGGCTGGAACACTTTCGTGCTGCGAAACAATAACGGTGGAGAAACCTATTAACAATACCTTGTGTAGTATGAAAACGTAAAAATTCAATGTGTGGTATAAATGCTGGTTAGGTGCTAAGATAACTCGTATAAGGCAAACTATGATTCCGGAAATTCAAAAACTGCCTATAAACAGGTAACATTCATACCCATGCTTAAAATCGTTCGACTTGTCTCAAGTAGAAGATTCAGCAAAACCTATTCTTAGTAACTCTCATGTCTAAGAGGATCATGGGAGTATTTATCAACAAATATTATTATAGTAAGTGATGGGGAACTTGGTAATTCGGAGAGGAAATTTCCTCAAATTCCGAATAAAAATTCATATTCGAAATAAAAGAATGGCTGGACCGTTAGTACTGCCTCTTCTTTAGGAAGCAGGAGAAGACGCATG